CTGCTGATTGGTGAGCTGATGATAACATGTTCTATATGTGTGTGTGTGTGTGTGTGTGTGTGTGTGTGTGTGTGTGTGTGTGTGTGTGTGTGTGTGTGTGTGTGTGTGTGTACAGCTGTATGCGAAGCTCCAGTCTCTGAAGGCTGACATTCAGGATGTGAATGATGAACATGTGAGGAGCCGACAGGACCTCGAGCAAACACAGAATGAACTGACCAGAGAACTCAAATTTAAGTGAGTCATTTTGAAGTGCTGCATATTAAAAAAACATTTATCTATTCGTGCATTATTGTACCAGTGATTATGTCTCCAGCTAGAGGTTTCTGTCTACAGAATACAATGAGAGCAGCTATTAAATCACACAACTGTATAAATGTCCAATGCGTCTAGCTAATGCGTCAGTGTCTGTGCAGATATTTGATTATAGAGAACTTTATACCTCCCGAAGAGAAGAATAAAATCATGAACAGACTGGAGTTCGATGCGGAGGAAGATCAGTGGAAGTTTCAGCCTCTTGTCCCGGCAGAGAAGTGAGTGATGCATCAGATGTTCATATCATGACCCCACCAGCCAAAACACATCAAACTCCTTTCATACTCAAACTGTTTTCCACATTTCAGAATAATCGCAAAGCCATACAGGTGATTAAATCGCATAAACAGAAATGTGGGAATTAGCCAAGGTGCAAATAACGGGGGGGTTTTGATACCGCTAATTAACGTTTGATCCCCCTTGAAGGACGTCAAAATGGGATGTATGGGTGGGTCGGCCCTTTAAATAGTGAGAAGTAGTTTTCCCTGGTCTGTATTTTAAATAATAATATTAATAATTTAAATAATACATTATATAAATACACATTTGACCACCCCATAACGGTTCATACCATTGCAAATGCATTACAGCATAGGGCTGCGTCTGAAACCGCATACTTCCATACTATATAGTACACTAAAATCAGTATGCGAGCTGAGTAGTATGTCCGAATTCATAGAATTCGAAAAAATCAGTAGGCGAGAAGTACCCGGATGACTTACTACTTCCGACGAGATTCTAGAGTGCGCATCCCATGCATGCTTTGCTATCCCATGATGCCCCGCGAGCGAATTCATGAATGGGAGTAAAGCGACGCAATTGACGCAGGTAGGTCATGTGATCATGACAAAATGGCGGATGTAGTACGTCCGATTTCCATTCATACTTTTCACGTTCATACTGTATAGAACGTACTTTTCTAACGGCCGAGTAGTACGTTTACATTCAAATCCAGAACCTACTGAGTAGTAGGCGGTTTCGGACGCAGCCTAGGTCTCAAACTCGATTACTAAAGAGCCGCAGCTCTGCACAGTTTTGCTCAAACTTTAATCAAACACAGCTGATCCAATTAATCAAGGTGTACAAAACTACTAGAGACTATTAAGCAGGTGTGAGTTGGAGGTGGTTCAGAAATTGACTTTGAGACCATTGCATTACAGCAAGGAGTGTACGCAAGAAGCTGTGTGATCTAGAGCAGGGGTCACCAATCTCGTTCCTGGAGGTCCGGTGCCCTGCAGGGTTTAGCTCCAAATTGCCTGAACACAGCTGCCTGGGTGTTTCAAGTATACCTAGTAAGACCTTGATTAGCTTGTTCAGGTGTGTTTGATTAGGGTTAGAGCTAAAATCTGCAGGACACCGGCCCTCCCGGTTCAAGTTTGGTGATCCCTGATCTAGAGCAACAATAGACATCGTTAGCGTTCACAAGACAGTTTTCTTGAAAAATAAAGATGTTTGTATCAACATATAGCCTAAAAATGAACTAAATTAGATGCATGGTTTGTATTTTAATAGACACCAGAAGTTAAATAGTAAAATTATAGGTGTAATTTTTTATGGTCATCTATTTATTGGTGCAGGAATGCAAACTTTTTTGATTGATATCAAAAATAGATGGTCTTTGAGATTTACACATCTGATGAAATAGCCAATTAGAGGTCACTGTAGGTAAGAATACACTTAATAGACCAAAATACGCCTGGCGCAATTAGGCGCAAGACTTGTGTGGTGCGAATTGTTTTTATTTTCAGACCAGTGCAACAGTAATTTTCACGTTTTGCACCATGTTGTTTAAATAGCAAGTCCGTTTGCACCACTGTGTGGACTCATGGGTGTGCTGGTCTAAAAAGGAGGTGTGTTAAGGAGCATTGTTGGTATTTTGAGAAACTGAAGTAGACTGTGCCATTGACCATATGGAGCTTAAGAATAAGTAACTCAGTTTTTTTAAACAAACTTCGTTATTATTGTTCATTTATTGATTTGGTGGAAATTAGAGCTGAATTTAGAAATAGTTTTGAAACAAATCTTTGCGCTTAACAAACATAATTAAAAATGTTGGCTAATAGATGTCTTCAGCAGAGTGAGTTTCCACTGATTACTTACTCTACAAAAGTAAAGGAGTAAAGTGTAAAAGTAAAGTAAAGAGAAAGTAAATAAGTTGAATGGAGAAGGCTCGTTCTTTATCTTCGCGCTGCAGATGATCTGTTTGACTGTTTTCTCTCTAGTGAAGCGTTCAGTTTTACTACTTAACTAGTTTTTCCGTCATGTATAGCAAATGCGAATGTGAGATGAGACACTGATTGGTGTAATGCACATTATGCTCATAACACAGCCATAACTAGACCCACACAGAATATGCATGCACAGAATTCCGCAGATTTTTAGCCCATCATTAATTCTGTTTATTTACTTGAGTAAATATCTGTAAAACTATTTTTATTCAGTTTTAAATTAATTACAGTAATATCACTGAGTAATGTGGAAATGTTCATCTAATTTATGTACAATGCAGTTTGTAAAGTAATACTTTTTGTCTTTTAGTAGATCTATATTATATTAGAGACTTGGTTTGTTTACCAAATAATCTAGTTGGATTTGCATTTTAAACATTAAATAAAAGTTAAAAAGATATTAGTTTTTATTTCACATATTAAGGTTTTAGCTACGATACTCCCAAAATAATTCTGCAGAAATCCGCAGACTTTCACGAAAATTCTCTGCAGAAATAGCAAAAAACGTCCGCAGATTCGTCTGGCCCTACCCATAGCTCATTAAGTTTATAAATAAACACAACCCTGTTAGACCATGCCCTGGGTCGTAGACCGTGTATTTCCATCCTTGAAATAGCAAAAGGGGATTCGGACACACCCTTAATGGTTTTGTGCCATGTGCTTTAGACTTTGCGCCTAGATCATTAAAATAGAGCCTGTTATCTCTTAAAACACTGAAAACTTACGTTTCTGTTTAATAAACTAGATATAACTTAATTAAATATATAAATTTGGTTCAATGAAGCATGTATTACAGAAACCAAATTAGGTAGTTAATTTTAGGTAGCTCACAGAAAAATGCAAAGGTTGTCAGCATTAACACTTCCTCCTCGTTCCAAATCTAGTAAAACTGAAGATGTTTTGAAAAATGTTGGAAAGTGTTAGCCATTGACCTCCATGTTGTTTTGGTTATTTTATGCAATTATCTATTTTAATTAATGTTAACATTAACATTACATATATTAGTAATAATAAGACATCAGAACAGCGGTGATCTGACGTGAGTGATTGAGTGTTTGTTTTCTGTTGACAGTAAATTCACTCAGATGAAGAGAAGACCCGCCTCCGCTGTAGGGTACAAGCGGCCAATCAGCCAGTACGCCAGGGTTGCCATGGCGATGGGGGCTCATTCCAGATACAGGGTACGTATATGGAGAGAGAAAGAGAAAGATGAAAAAAAAGAGAAAGTCAAATAAAGAAAGTCAAATAAAAAGAGTTGATGTGCCGAAGATGGTTGGTTGTGTACACTGCAAAATGAATCTGTTAAAGGGGTCATGACATGGATTTTAGATTTCAGATGAAAAATAATATAAACAAGGAAAAACAATTAGCCTAAATAGGAACTAAACTAAATTAAACTGTGTAAAACATACAGGAATAGGCGGGAATAGTTGGCGGTTCATTCTGTTATGGCGACTCCTGATAAATGAAAGACTTAGCCGAAGGAAAATGAATGAATGAGTACTGTTTTGCTCCTGTTTTGACCCCTGCCTGCTAACCAGCATGTGTTTTATGCAGCGGATGCCTTTCCAGCGGCAACCCAGTGATGGGAAACACCCATACACACTCATTCACACACACTTGTACACTATAACCAGTTTAGTTCATTCAGTTCACCTATAGTGCAGGTGTTTGGACTGTGGGGAAACCAGAGCACCTCCCACACCAACACGTGGAAAACATGCAAACTCCACACAGAAATGCCAACTGACCCAGCCAGGACTCGAACCAGTGACCTTCTTGCTGTGAGGCTAACCACTGTGAGAGTTTGAGAACTGAATGAATTTCCTCATCTGATCACTAGATGGCATCTAAAGTGTATGTGTACGTGTGTGTGTGTGTCAGTGTTAAGATTAGTAAACTGTTTCAGCTGTGGGATGCAAAGCATGATGGGAGGTGTAGTCTGGGTGACGGGCCACTAGTTAGTCTGGTGGGTAGGGAACTGAAACAGGTAGGGACACTTCAAGCATACCTTAGCATAGTTCATTGAGTTAGATTAGACCAGTGTTTCCCAACCCTGTTCCTGGAAGCACACCAACAGTACATATTTTGGATGTCTCCCTTATCTCAACTATCCATTTCAGGTTTCTATGTCTCTTCTAATGTTCTGATGAGTTGATTCAGATTTGTTTGGTTAGTGAGAGGTGGAAAATGTGTAGTGTTGGTGTGCCTTCGGGAACAGGGTTGGGAAACACTAAATTAGACCATTTACATTTCGCTCCAAAAAATCCAAAAAGTTTCCGTAACGTTCTTAATTAAAGCTTGACTATTCTGTAACCGAATCCAGCATGTTACCAGAGGAGGAGTGAAGAACAAGGGTGTGGGGTTTGATGTGTCGCAGACGAAAGTGAAGAGCGGGTGGGGGAAAGTAAAGGCTTATTAATTGTTGAAAAATCAAGACAATTTTGATTTCACATGTCACACCTTTTAAGGACTTTTGTAATTCTGTCTCTGCAGGCGGAGAATATCATGCTCCTGGAACTGGACATGACTCCACCTGTGGTGTTTCAGCTGGAGCTCCAGAAATCAGGATCAGAGGAGGAGCCGTCCAGAGACGTTCTGCTGGACAACAACAGTTACAGAGAGAAATCTGCTGCCGGACGGGTCAGAAAATCACAGTCATGGTCAGTCAGACTTACAAGACACAGCAAAGCACAATAAACGTCAAATTTTAATGATTATATATCAACTAATTATAATAATCTACATTTTTAAACAAATATTTTTAAATATAATTATATATTATCACTGTATACTTTCACATAAATAACAAATCAATAATCAGTAATAAATGCATATGTGCAAAATATGAATATTAGATAAGAGCTGTCCAGACACAAAAAAAGCTGATTAAGGTGTTTTTAATTAAAGCTAAACTATTGTTTGTATTGGCCAATTTAAATGTTATTTTTGATCAAATTAATTCAAATACTATTATAAACTGTTACTGTATATTACTATGTAATTAAATTAAATTTATTAGATTTGTTGAATGTTATTTTTAATGAAATGCATTCAAATTTAATTATACTATTAATATATATATATATAAAATTTTAGTTGAATTTATTTAAATACATTCTGTATAAAATGGATATATAATATATAAATACATTCGTAAATACAATTTAAAAAATAATCAGTGTTCAAGGAAATAGAATACCCAGCGATACATAGGCTTTACAAAATATACATTCAGTAATTATGTTATTAATAACAATATATACACTTATGCATTGAAAAGTAATATAATTTTGAAATGAATTAAATGTAATTTAATGAAATACTGGAATATGTTTTAAAATGATTTGTGTGTATGATAAGATTAAATTAGGATTATGCTGTGATATGGTGCATACGGTAATCTGAGATTAACTCATAATCTCTATGACATAGTGCACATGTAGATAGTTGAATCTCAGCACAGATTTTTGCAGTATTTATGGGCTATTTTTGGACTGCAATACTACTGCATAATTATAAAGGCATTTCCACATCCATAAAATACTATGAAGACCTACAACACAACATTATGCACTTGACATGACCTAGAACTGCAATTTAAATCTGTTGTAAATTAATAATTTTTTAATTTTATTTTTGTCTATCAAAAGTGGACACTTTGTGGGTGCTAATAGCCTAGTGATTAGAGCGTCAACACATTGCACTAAAGTACTCGCGACGACCCGAGTTCGCTTTCCGGCTCAAGGTCCTTTGCCGATCCTTCCCTTCTCTCTGCTCCCCACATTTTCCTGTGTGTAATTTCCACTTTCCTGTCGATTAAAAGGTGAAAACCCAAAAAAAGAGTGGACACTTTGACTCAAAACTCAAAATTGTAATAATAATAAAAAAAGTTAATGATTCAACTACACTCAAAAAACGACATGTTGGTCCCTATCATACACCCAGCACAATAAGGCACAAGACGTGTATGGCGCGATTTGTTGCTATTTTCAGACCAGCGCAACAGTAATTTTCACGTTTTGCACCACGTTGTATAAAAAGCCAATCAGAGGTCACTGTAGGTCAGAATACACTCAATAGGCCCTATCATACACCCAGTGCAGTAAGGTGCAAGACGAGTATGGCGGAATTTGTTGCTAGTTTCAGACCTGCCCAACGGTAATTTCACGTTTTGCGCAACGTTGTATAAATAGCAAATCCATTTGCGCCCCTGTGTGGACTCATAGGTGTGCTGGTCTAAAAAAGAGGTGTGTTAAGGCGCATTGTTGACGCTTTGCTTTTTTGAGGAACTGATATAGACTGTGCCACTGACCAACTAAAAGCTAGTCTAAATTCCAGCGCAGAGTGCGTTAGTTATGCACCCATGCAGGTTCAAAAGCTTACACTTTGCTTAATACACACATGATTTACAGCAACACACCAAAATCTTTACATTTGAAAAAAATTAAAGAATTAAAATGTTACAAAAATGATTATTTTCTACATAAATATAAAAACCACTGCCTCCGTGCCTTCTTTGTGTCGAGTGTTTTTTTTTTCAGTTTATTCATGACAATGTGCATGTGTATAATGATAGTATTATTAGCAGTATTATTTATTAAATGCATATTTATATTAGTTTTCATAAAAACAAGTTTAGGTTTGTCCACCTGTTGGGTTTTGGAGACGCTGCATTACCATATGGGGCATAAGAACAGGATGTGTGTTTGGACATTACTCAGTTCTTTGACCACACTTCATTATTATTGTTCATTTATTCCTTTGCTGGAAATTAGAACTGAATTTAATAGTTTGTGTTTGAAGTAGTTTTGAAACAAAACTAAATCTTTGTGCTTAACAAATGAAATTAAATATGTAGGCTAATGGATGTCTTCAGTGGAATATACAACACCATTTCCTCATCCATTAAAGTAAAGGAGTAAAGTAAAGCTTAAAAGTAAAGACAAAGTATAGAGCAGGGTTCATCAATCTCATTCCTGGAGGTCCGGTGTCCCTGCAGGGTTTAGCTCCAATTTGCCTCAACACACCTGCTTGGGTGTATCAAGTATACCTAGTAAGACCTTGATTAGCTTGTTCAGGTGTGTTTGATTAGGGTTGGAGCTAAAATCTGCAGGACAATGGACCTCAAGGAACAAGTTTGGTGATCCCTGGTATAGAGGCTGAATGGAGGAGGCTCGTTCTTTATCCTCGCACTGCAGATGCTCTGTTTTACTGTTTTCTCGCTAGTGAATTGTTCAGTTTTTCCACTTACAAAGACCATGTAAATGCACCATGGCGTGACGCAACTGACTCTCAAAGGAAATGTGAGATGATACTCTGATTGGTTTAATATATGGTATGCTCAAAACACACCCTTAACTCATTAAGAGAATAAGCACAACCATGTTAGACCATGACCTGGGGTGCAAATCGCATACTTCCATCTTTAAAATAGCAAAAGTGGATTCGGACATGGCCTTAATGCTTTTGTGCCATGCGCTTTACACTTTTTGCCTAGATCATTAAAATAGAGCTTGTTATTTTTGTTCACTTTTTTTGTCTACAACATTTGCATGAAAAATCTACTTTATGCAAAAAAAAGTAAATAAACAACACACACTCAAATTAATGTCGTTCTATTATTCGCAGGTGCCAGTCTCAGCAGGTCATGCCCACCTCAAGCTCCGCCCTTTCTCTGGCATCCTCAGGGTCCCTCAGCCTGCCACACCCACAAAACATCCCCATGGCAACAGCCCAGGAATGAAACTCGAAACTACCATAATCCCCCCACCCCCCACCCTTAAAACTTAATCAATCCTAACAGATGACGGAAACAGACCAAAAACCGTCTCCATAAAACAAGACGAAACCTGCTCGCGATCTGAACAGACAGCAAAAGCAGGACTAGACCCATTCCAACTCATCAGGACCAATATTAGTGGAATTATTCTCTCTTGCTCTTTGCTCCTCAGGACAGTGAAGAAGACACTGCCATCGAATAACATCGCCTCATTCGACAACCTGAGGCTTTTTCCAGTCGTTTTTGCTGCTTCCAAAAATGGTCAGTGTTTACTTACTGATCGACACACACCTCGAATGATGGAGGCCAAACGGACGGGGTTTGTGTTCATCCGCCCTGAAAGAGCTGAGCAAGAGGGACGCGTCTCTTTCTATCTGCATGTCTTAATGTATGTGTGTGTCTTTGTGATTCTGATCAGGGTTTGGAACGGTCGGCTGGAGGAAAGATCTACAGGGTTCCCACTGGGCTCATGGAGAAACCTGCGGTTGAAGTCTAAATGATTCGCCCTCCTGTGAATTTTTTCAAATATTTCCCAGATGTGTTAAGCAGAGTAAGAAATATCTCACGTTATTTCATATAATATTTTTTCATTTAGAGAAAGTCTTATTTGTTTTATTTCGGCTATGATAGATGCAGTTTATAATTTTTTAAAATATATATTTTAAGGTCAATATTATTAACCCTCTTAAGAAATATTTTTTTTCCAATTGTCTACAGAACAAACCACTGTTATACAATGACTTGCCTAATTTCACAAATTTACCTAGTTAAGCCTTTAAATGTCACTTTAACCCAGGGGTCTCAAACTCAATTCCTGGAGGGTCGCTGCTCTGCATAGTTTACCTCCAACCACCTCCAACTCACACCTGCTTAATAGTCTTTAGTAGTCTTAAACACCTTGATTAGTTGGATCAGCTATTAGGGTTGGAGGAAAACTGTGCAGAACTGCGGCCCTCCAGGAATCGAGTTTGAGACCTGTGCTTTAAGCTGAATACTAGTCAGGGCTCAACAATAAGGACTGCCCAGGGCCAGCGTGACAGAGACTTGGGACAGTAGACCGGATCATTACTGGCCTGATTTGGACAGTGCTGCCTTGTCAATAACATTTAATTTGTCTGTGACTATTTATCAATTGCGTGCATTTTAGGTTTGTGCTTTTAAGTCTTCAAACACAACCGTCTCAGTGATGTCGTAAACACCATATTGCTTTCCGGTTCCTCTTATCTGATTAAGAATTCTATTTTTTTCCATAACCTGGCAACAACCAGTTCAGCAAAGAAATGGCAACATGGCGGCAACATCCAATTCTAAGGCTAAAAGAAAATGTTTCTAACGTCTTGGAAGCAGAAATTTACGTGTGAACAAAGCAACAAAACAAAAAAAAAACACAGTTGCACAGTTTGCCGTCAGTTTGACAAGTCAGCCACTCTTTGTTAAATAATTTCAAACCGCAATAAAATACCTCCACATTTTCCATACTGCTCTTTTTGTTTGCATATCAGTTTTATTTACAATTTTTTTAAGTATTAAAATTCTAGATTGACAGACTTTATTTGTGACACATTATTTAAAATATGTGGCTAAAAAATAGCTATTAACTTCCCTTTCTTTTTTTGGTGGGGCCAGTGAAAATTTTGGCTGGGCAAGTAAAAATCTGAAGCACTGGCCCGATCAGACCGGTAGAAAAAAACCTTAGCGTTGAACCCTGCTAGTATCTTGAAAAATATCTAGTCAAATATTATGTACTGTCATCATGGCCAAGATAAAATGAATAAGTTGTTAGAAATGAGTTATTAAGTCTATTATCTTTAGAAATGTACTGAAAAAAAATGTTCTTTCTGTTTAATAGAAAGGAGAAAAAGAATATACAGGGGGCTGTTAATTCTGACTTCAACTGTATATGGGAATAACTGGGGTTTCTGTGGGATTTCTGAGGTCTGGAAAAGCCATGGAGAGTAGTAGAGGTTGTGGAGATTTTCATTCATGAAGTGTAAATGTAGTGTAGTGTGAAGATACAGATATGAAGGTGGAATTATAAAAAAAAAAGTACTGTAAAGAAATGATTGACTTCATGTGTTCAGGTATGATTATAAAGTGTATGAATATTTATTACCATTCAAAGATTTGGGGTTGGTAAGATTTAATACAAATTCTTTTGAAATGCAACACACACAAAATAACGTTTTCTTAGTGTTTGTATTAATTTTAGGCCAAATATCCAAAAATAAATCTTAAATCACAAAGATTTTAAAGACAGAAAAAATATTGTTTGGTTTTCAGAAATAACTCAAAATCAAGCTTTTTTATTATTTATTATTATTATTTTTTTGTAAATAATGTTCAAATTGGGTAAGTAAATTAATCTTATTTCAAACTAAACATAAAATTATTTTATTCACCCCATTGTTTAAGGAAAAAACTCTATTTATGGAAACAAAACAATATTTTACTTGTCTAGAAAATGCTTCTTGATTTAAGAACTTTTAGATAGTTGGACAAGAAATAAGACAAACTCTCAGTAAATTATTATTATTATTATTTTATTTATTTATTTTTTGCAGTAAAGGCTGCATTTGTGTTAACAAAATTGAGTAAAATTACTAAATATTATTACATTAAATAATTGTTTTTCATTTGTAATTTATATTTAAATGGAATTTAGTTTAATGTAAAGCATTTTAGCATCATTCCCATCAGTCCTTAGTGTCATGTGATCCATCAGAAATCACTCTAATATGATGATTTTCTGCACAGGAAATATTTATGATTTTCAATGGTGAAAGAGTTATGCTTATTTATTAATTTACTTTTTTTAAATACATTTTGTTTGGAAAACGTGATACATTTTATATAATTTGTTATTTAATAAAATGCTCAAAAGAACAGCATTTATTTCTAATAGAAACCAAGTCTTTTTAAAATCTATTTATGCAGAATAAAATCTTATTGACCCTAAACTTTTAAAAATACTAAAATGTTAACACTTAGTAATGTGTAAGTATATATTTACTGGATTGACTATAAAATGTTTGAGTAAATTCTTAATACTTGTTTTATATGAAGGTCTTAAAACATTTCTTTCAAAATTTAAACAGAAATAATGTCATTTAGTGATTTATTGTTGTTGTTTTGTGTCAGAAAATGACATTTGGTCAAAATAACAAATGTTTTCATTATTTGTGTGACCAAATATTGGTTTTGATATAAAGAAAGATATTGCGTTGTCTAAAAATAGCCAGCAGCTAGCTCTCTGCAACTCTTACACGGTCGCCCACTAAAGCTAAGCAGGGCTGTTTCTGGTCAGTACCTGGAAAGGAGACCATATAGGAAAGCTAGGTTGCTGCCGGAAGCGATGTACTGTTAACGAGACCAGCAGGGGGAGCTTAACCTGCAGTTTGTGTTGGTCCTTATGCCCCAGTACAGTGAAGGGGACACTATATTGTCAGTGGGCACCGTCTTTCTGGTGAGCCATTAAACCAAGGTCCTGACTCTTTGCCCACTGGCTTCTGTCCATCATGGCCTTCTAACCATCCCCATATCATAATTTGCTTCATCGCTTTGTCTCTGCAATATGGCTGCCATCGTGTCATCCAGATGGATGCTGGCACTGGTGGATAAGATTCCCCCCAAAAAAATATTTAAAGCTCTTTGAGTGTTCAGAAAAGTGCTATATAAATGTAAGGAATTATTATTATTTTTAAAAATGAATATGAACATTTTTGTTATTTTGACCAATTGTGATTTTATGCAACGACAATACTCTAAATGACAACATTTATAAAATTTAAACATGGAAGAAAGTTTTGCTCAAACAGATAAATCAAGAGAAACTGAGACGTAAATATACATATTCCAATGGGTACTATATCAATGATGTATGTAATTAATGAGGATTAAAAGATGTGGGAACCCTGTCTCTAGAACGGTGTGAATAGAGAGCGCAGAGCATGTATTATATGAGCTAGGCTTTGCTTAGACCTTTAAACCACTGCACTACCTTAAAGCAAAGAGACGGCATTGACCTCCAGGACATAAACACTCGACACAAGCCTTGCATATTGATTCGCTGAGGGCAGCAGTCAGTCGTGTTCTCCAGCCGGACGGCCCTCTGCTGTAATTATGAACATATGTAGAGTTTTGTTCCGTGCAGGGGATCTGCGTGTTCACGTGTGTGTCGGATCTGTGTGTTATTGGATCATGGAGCTGCTCGCACTGGATGGAGAAATAAAGGAGCAGTTCTCTGGCAAAAGATGAATGTGTTTGCGGAAGTTTCTTTAGTAAAAGCTTGCAAAATACACTCAAAAATGAAGTCTACTGATGTTCAAGCTACTTATTTAAAAATAAGCTGAAACACCACAATATTTGCATTTTTTGGGAGATAACCTTTTTTCTATTTGTTTTATGCTAAATCTACTTCAATTTGTTAAGTTAACTTAATTCCTTACGACCAAAAGACTTGCGCTATAGGTAAATTGGATTAACTAAATTGGCTGTAGTGTATGTGTGAATGTGTGTGTGTGTGTGTGTGTGTGTGTGTGTGTATATGAGTTTCCCAGGACTGGCTTGCAGCTAGAAGGGTATCCGCTGGGTAAAACATATGCTGGAAGAGTTGGAGGTTCATTCCGCTGTGGCGACTTCTGGGGTCTGTTCTTTGTACCTCGCTTAAATGATCTAAGACAGGGGTGGACAATCCTGTTCGTGGAGAGCCACCTTCCTGCAGATTTCAGTTGCTACCCATATCAAACACACCTGAACCAATTAATTAGGACCTGAACACCACTTGATAATTAGAGGCAGGTGTGTTAGAGCAGGGGTTCCCAAACTTTTCAGCCCGCGACCCCCAAAATAACAATGCCAGTGACTCGCGACCCCCAATATCCTCTGAGATGGTTATAAATACAAAAACCTTGCATGCAATGACGCAGACACACCAATTAAATTTGTGTCAGTGCTTTAAATGTGCCAGAAAGTATAACCTGATGTTATAAAATCAAAATGCATCTGACGCTATTGCTGCCTTTAATATAATGTAATTACCCCAGGGGTCGCAATCCAATAGAACTAGTAACTATAAGCTACTATAGTAACTATATAGTATATAGTAACTATAAACGACTATTTTTATTTTCAGTATAGTTATATATAAAAAATGTTAATTCTTATGGTTTAATACAAATAATTAGATTTTTGGAAATCACCAGGCGACCCCCCTTCATTTCTCCGCGACCCCTCGGGGGGTCCCGACCCCCACTTTGAGAACCACTGTGTTAGAGGAGTAATTTTTTTTTACTTTGTGTGGTAAGTTTTAGTAACTACACTCTCTAAATCATTCTGCATAAATCTGCAGCTATAGCACATGTCTTTGGACTGTGGGGCAAACAAAAGATTTCAGAGGAAACTCACATGTCACGCCAACAAGGGGAGAACATGCAAACTCCACACAAAAATGTCAACTGGCCCAGCTAGGACTGGTACCAGCGACCTTCTTGCTGTTAGGCAGCTATCCACTGTGCCACCGAATCACTCCTCCAAGGTCTCACAAGTAATTAGTTTTTTGTAATTTAATGCAAATAATAATACATAAATGCTCATATGTTGTTGTTTTTAAGTTAAAATATTAAAACCTATCAATGATTTA